TTAGATTTATACCTAAAGATAACCATGTTTTTTCTGGTGACATGGTATGCTTCCCTTTATTAGGTAATTCATTTATTCAACAGATATTTAGTGCCACTTTTCTAGGAGCTGAGGAAGCCAGTCTCTTCTCTCACAGAGCTTACATTCTGGTGTGAAAGACAAAATGAATAGAAGTGGAATTTCAGGTAGTGATAAATGCTATCATGAAATCCTCACTATTTCCTAGTTAATGTTTCTTGTCAGAATACTCAGCTAAAAATTGCATGCACCTTTGCGATAGCAAATAGAAATTCTTTTCTTAGCAGAGACTTGCTGCTATAATTTTTACCTTTGTTTTCTCCTCCTTCCCAACGTGGCTTTTATCCTTTTATCTCTAATTTCATAGTTTTATACTTGATTCTTGTGTCTTTTCCTTTTGCAAATGACTGAGGCCTGTAGGCAATCCAGAATTTCAATATTGGAAAGGCTTAAGGTAGAAACAGGAGAGGAGAGGAGGTCGAAAGTTGGCTAGAAGATATAACATGGAGATAAGTTTGCACAGCAAATGGTACATATTATGTAGTACGTATACTTAGTTAAAGTGGCCAGGGTGGTGGCTTCTGGATATAGTGGGAAGGGAAGGAAAAACATTAGTTACCAGCACCAAACCAGTCCGTGGCTGTGCCCTAACTAGATGAGGGCATGCACACTAAATAAATGAATGAACAGTCATTGTTTTTTTTGTTTTTGCCTATTTCTGTAAGTATAAAACCAAATCTAGTTCTGATGAGATTTTTCATGTTTATAAGCCATTGTTTGTGACTTTTTGCTGATCCTGTTTTTTAGGCAGTTTCAGAGGAAGGGGCAAGTGTGCTTGTTCACTGTTCTGATGGCTGGGACAGAACCGCTCAGGTGTGCTCGGTGGCCAGCCTGCTGCTGGATCCGCACTACCGGACTCTGAAGGGCTTCATGGTGAGTGCGGCTGCTACACCACTTTCCCACGCAGGACCCTCGGCAGAAGGCACCTCTCTTTTGGCACCTTTTTATTTTTCTCATCAACATTATTCTTAGTAGATCAGCAAGATGAATTAAAGGGGAAAGGCAAAATAGGCTTGGAATAAAGAGGTAAATTTCTGGGATGTTGGAACCAATTAGAATCAATGCTATTAAATATAAATTTGGGGGCAAGTATGAAATATATTCTGTAGTTTGTAAAATATTGAGTTTTATACATCATTTGCTGATAAGTATTTCAAGTTTGAAGTAACATGTGTAACAGAAAACACTTCAAAAACATTTGGAGATAAAATTTTCTATATCGTGTATGCAAAAAGTCCTTCAGAGGAAAAACTTTTTTAAGTAGCCCTTCACAACTCTGGATGAGAATATTGGAAAATTCAGTTTTTTTGCTGAAAAAGTGTACCTTTTAGATGTGCATCAAAATGCACCATGGTGCTTCCAACTGCAGAATATTTGTGTAGTTGCCTGGAAGGGTGAAGCGTTGGCTAAGCCGGAACCGTTTTCTTAAAACAGCTGCAGGGCCTTCCTAGTGACTGAGAGGTTACCTGGTTCCTGCCTTTTGAACTATGATTAGGTGGAAAGTGTTTTGGCGGATCCTGAAACCATGCTAGGGATAGATGCCAACAGAGACCAAATGGTATCTCTCTACTGGAAGATCTCCTTTATCAAGTAATATCAGCTGACACTCTGGGGACAAGAAAAGAGGCAGATTTCCTCTCAGGCTTTTTCTTTCCTTTGAAAGTGTCAGAGAATTTACTTCTAATTACCCGTGATAGCAATGAGACTTCAGAGTGGCGCTTCTGTTTCACACCCCTCCCCTGGACTGAGGTTAGGAGGGCAGGATTCTTTCATTTATATTTGGACAACAGAAGGTTTGAGCCACACATCACCATGGGGCCTCCTTCATACCATCCTTTACCACCACTGACTTCTGATTCTGTCTCATTAAATTTACGAGTTGTCAAGAACAAACTTCAACTACTCCGTATTTTTTTTTTTTTTTAGTGGAAACATCTGGCTAATTTAGAGCATTGGTGATATTGATGGGATTATTTTGATTAAAAAAAATTTTTTTAATTGACAATTTGAAATTATAAACTCATGTTACCCCTAACTCCAAAGCAGGGCTGAAACTCCTAATACACCCCCACCATTTTAGAATTCTTCTAATGTGTAGAAAAGATCACTGGAAAACATTTCTAATGTGGAAACATCTGGCTAATTTAGAGCATTGGTGATATTGATGGGATTATTTTGATTAAAAAAAATTTTTTTAATTGACAATTTGAAATTATAAACTCATGTTACCCCTAACTCCAAAGCAGGGCTGAAACTCCTAATACACCCCCACCATTTTAGAATTCTTCTAATGTGTAGAAAAGATCACTGGAAAACATTTCTAATTGTTTCTTGTAAAAAGGCTGGTATTTGATATTATAGGCAGGGGCAGCATCACATATTGGTTAAGAGAAAGGCTTTGGTGTGGAACTAGCTAGGTTCTAAGGTGGCATCTACCACTTCCTAGTAGCATTATCTTAGGTCAGGGTCTAACCTCCCTTTCAGTTTCTCCTTCTGTAAAATGAGAATGATCATATTATCCCACAACCAAATGAGATGATATATGAATATGAATAGTACATCATAGAAAGCACTCAGCAGGTGGTCATATTAACATTTTCATATATCCATTCGTTTATTTTTCCTATGGATGACCTTCAGCTTTGCCCTTCCAGTGTGCTTCTCTATATTGGTGGATAACGAGTGCTCATTCATTTGCGAAGTCACCTGAGGATGGTGACTTCTGCTCCAAGAACCTTTGAATCCTTCAACATTATTGGTTGTGGTCTCTTAACTTTCCCCGTTTGCTACTCTCCATGATATTTATATTCTTTCTTGTGTAGGTATTAATTGAAAAGGATTGGATTTCCTTTGGTCATAAGTTTAATCACAGGTAAGAAATATTTTAAAATCTGTTGTTTTGAATGTTTAGGATAAAAAAAAATGTTTCTGAAATTCTCAATTAAGTAGAGAAAATAGCCTTATTTTTTTTTATTAAGTTTATTGGGGTAACATTGGATAATACAATTATATAATTTTCAGATGTGCATTATAATTTCACATCTGTATACTCTACTGTGTTTACTACCTAAAGTCCAGTTTCCTTCAGCTATCACATATTTGATCCCCTTTACCCACTTCACCCTCCCTCAACCCCCCTATATTTGACCCCCTTTACCTTGTCTACCTCTCCCTTCTCCCTCCTACCCTCTGGTAACCACTAGTCTATAGTCCATGTCCATAAGTCTCTGTTTGTCCTGTTCATGTGGTGCTTTTAGGTTTATAAGTGATATCATGTGATTTTCAACTTTTTCTGTCTGGCTTATTTCACTTAGTATAATTATTTCAGGGTCCATCCATGTTGTCGCAAATGGCAGTATTTCAGCTCTTCTTATGGCTGAGTAATATTCCATTGTATATATGTACCACAGCTTCTTTAGCCAATCATCTGTTGTAGGACACTTCAATTGCTTCCACGTCATGGCCACTGTGAATAATGCTATGAACATCGGTGTGCAAATATCTTTTTGGATATGGGTTTTCAAGTCTTTGGGGTAAATACCCAGTAGAGGGATTGCAGGATCATATGGTAGATCGATTCTTATATTTTTGAGGAACCTCCATACTGTTCTCCATAGTGGCTGTACCAATTTGCAGTCCCACCAGCAGTGTATGAGGGTTCTTTTTTCTGCATCCTCTTCAGTATTTTTTATTACTTGTTCTGTTGATTGTAGCTATTCTAACAGGTGTGAGATGGTATCTCATTGTGGTTTTGATTTGCATTTCCCTACTAGCTAGTGATGTTGCGCAACCTTTCATGTATTTGTTGGCCATTTGTATGTCCTCTAAGGAGAAGTGTCTGTTCAGGTCCTCTGCCCATATTTTGATTGGATCGTTTATTTTTTGTTGTTATTGAGTCGTAAAAGTTCTTTGTATATTTTGGATATTAGGCCTTTATCGGAGGTGTCGCTTGCAAATATATTTTCCCATTCAGATGGTTGTCTCTTTACCTTGTTGACGGTTTCTTTTGCTGAACAGAAGCTTTTTAGTTTGATGTAGTCCCATTCATTTTTGCTTTTACTTCCCTTGGAAATAGCCTTATTTTTAAAAAGTTTCTTTGGGAATTTTATTCAGAAAATTAAAACTTTATTGTATGCATTGTATCATAGATAAATGAAATAATAACTCTTACTACTCTTGTAAGAACTCATGTTAAATAATTCCAGAAGAGGCAGAGCTTATTCATTGACCTTGAAAGGATTGACTCTCCCTCCTACAAAACACATCTAAAAAATTATTCCATTTTCGAAGTGCAGACATTCACTTTTAGCTGCGAGTGGAACAGTTTCTCTATGATCTTTCACAAAGGGAGTTAATCGGGTTGTTCCGAGACATTTGTCATAGGTGACATTGTCCCAGATGTCTGTGGAGAGGTGGTGGAAGACAGTGGCCCAGGCTTGGAGCCAGACGAATCCATGTCTAAATCTAGGCTGTGGCATTTACTAGCTGTGTGACCTTGGGCGTCTGTTCTCTCTGAGCATTGGTCTCCCATCTGTGAAATGGGGCTACCCTCCCTATTCCACAGAGTTATAGTAAGGCTTTATAAAAAGTGTATGTAACTAGCCTAGCTCCTTGCCTGGCCCATATACTAGGTTTTCAATAAACAAGTTATTGCTTTCAGAGAGACCCTAGCCTCCTTTAGTTAGTATTGATGTTAATGACTGACGTGTGTTCTTTAATCTCTGAATGTTAATAGCTGTAGCTGGTGGTGTCTTTTGGTGCTAAAATTAATTTAGGCAGCATGCAAATAATTTAGCTATTTTGATATACATTTTAGATTTTCATAAAATAAGTTCTAAGATCATTGAACTGCACATATTTATTTTTGTAGTTTATGTATTTAGCGTTAGTATGCTGTATGTTTTTTTCTAGAATTCTATTTTTATAAATAATTACTTGTCGAGGAAAACGCAGTGATTCCATTCTACAAATGAGAAAATTAAAGCCCCCAAATCAATTAACTTTCTTAAGATCACATTGTTATTTTGTTTTGGGCTTCTATCTGCTAGACAGTTAGAATCTCTGAGATACAGGACATATGGACAGAAAGAATATGGAAATGGCTGAAGATTAACTGGATAATTGTTTTATGAGAAAAAGAGTATATTAGACAACCCTTTTTTAAAGCTACCAAAGGTGAGTAGAACTGAAACTTTGGAGAAGTTTCCAGGCAATTTCTGTTTCCACTATGGAAACACTCTTGTGATGCCTGCTCATTTCTATTATTATTTCTGAGAAGACGAGGTTCCATATTGTTGGCACCCAAATTACTCTTTTGTATTCTAAAATTCATGCAATAGTGTGAAGGACTAGGCAGCCTGCATTTAAGTTCTGACCTACTCTTGAAAGCAGTTTCAAGATTCTTTACGTACTTTTGAAAAAGAAGTATAAAGTTGTATGGAATCTGTGGTCATGTGGAAGTAAATTATGTGACAAGTTTATGCTCTAGTAATTATGCTCTAGTAATGGAAATATCTCTAGAAACTTGGGGAAACAATTTTTTTCAAATTTTCTTTCTTTCCCACCCCAAACAATGCAAAAGTGAAAAGCTCTGAAGTTGCTTAGATATTTCTTCCCATTCTTCCACTACACACTAATTAAAGTTTATTTAAGTTGGAAAAGTTTTATTTCAAAAATTCTGATGCACTCTTGCCCCTTGAATATTTTTCCATGGAAAATTTAGTTTTATCTCTAGCACTAACACTTTTGTCCCTCCTCTATTCAGATCTTCACTACAAAGCTTCTCTTTAAATTGGAATTTAAAAAGTTATTTTTTCCACCTCTACATTCTAGATTTGTAAGATAGAATTAGGTAATAGGGTTGCTTTTTAGTTTTTGGATTTGTGGCTTCCTAATTTAAAAAAAAAAAAAAAAAAACTTGCCCAAAGTTCTCTAATACTTTATTTTATAGATATGGCAATCTTGATGGTGATCCAAAAGAAACCTCTCCAATTATTGACCAGTTCATTGAGTGTGTCTGGCAGTTAATGGAACAATTTCCCTGCGCGTTTGAGTTCAATGAGAGGTTTCTGATTCACATTCAACATCACATTTATTCCTGCCAGTTTGGAAACTTCCTATGCAACAGCCAGAAAGAGAGACAAGAACTCAAGTAAGTGTGTTGGTGTTTAATTTTAATCTAAAGTAATTTTGTGACTGAGAATTTCAGATAGATTTTCAGAATTTTAAAGATTTTAGCTACACACCTGATAGATTACACTGACATATTAAAGTTCTTTCTTTTTTCTGATATCATTTCATAAATGGTTTAATGTCATCAACTGACAAAGATAGGTACAAGTTCATTTCCCTCATTTTCTGCCTGATGTCCACAGACAAGTTGGTAGACCTGACAGTCACACTAATATTGAAAGGAAACTTCTCTGAGTCAAGGAAAATTCCTAATATTAAAACAAACAATTACCTTTATCCAGAGGGGAAAATTAGATGAAGTTTGGACTTTAGAATAACTAAAATCAGAAACTTAAAAACAGCAAAGTGATTTACGAACTGCAAATGAAAATTTTTGAAATTTTCATAAATTGATTTTAACTATGATCTATATATCAGATTTAATTTTGGAAATGACCAGTTCAAATAAAATAGACTCCACTAGTTTTTACTGTCTAAACAGAAAGAAAATGACTTTCTAGTGGATACTAGTTTGTTTTCTCCAAAGAGCTTAAAGTGTGATTCTTGATACATGGTAATGACTTAAAAGTAGCAGAGTACATCATTTAAGCTTACCTGTTTTCCTAGTTTTGTGGTTTATTGAGATAGAATAGCCAACTTAATGGTATTTTTTTTTTGGTTTGAATCTCAGCTGTTTCACTCATTAGCTATGTGACTTTGGGAAACTACTTAATCTAAGCCTCAGTTTCTTCATCTGTAAAATAGATATATTTCATAGGGATTCCATGAGGATTAAATGAGAGAAAATGTGTGAAGCATTTAATAGTACCTGGCAAATAATAAAAGTTCAATGACTACTTGGGGGGGGAAACAAAAAACCCAAAATTACACAGCCGTTTTATTTTATATTCAGAGGAATTAAACATCTTGTCCAGGCCAGTACAGAGAGTGGAGGACTTGAGATTATTACAATGTTCTGCTACACCATGAAGATACAAAGATTGTAAATTTTCCTGGTACAGAGCAAGGACACATGATACTCATAATTATTCCTGGTCTCATTCTGGCTTCAATATTACGTATTCTGCAATTTATAAGAACCAGGATAGGTTGTTTTCAGGCTTATTTTCTTTATAACAGAATTCAAGAAAGAACATACTCTTTATGGGCTCACCTGTGGAAGAATCGGGCCGACTACAAGAATCCTCTATTTAGAGCTGATCACAGTCAGACCCAGGGAACCCTTCATCTCCCCACACCACCATGCAACTTCATGTACAAGTACGTAAACCTCTAGGATGTTACTAAGTATGGTTATGAACTTACTTGGAGGCCAAAGTGTATGAAACACTGAGCTTCAAGGCTTTTTAGGATACAAAACACACCAAACGAAATTGTTTAAGTATCTGACCTGGTGTTTTGGCCAGTGTCTCCTCTCTCTTACCCTTAAATATGGAATTATCTTTAGAAGTTGATGTTTTGTAATAATGATATCTTAAAATGTAAGTTCCAATTAATTTAAAAGCAAAAGAGAGGGTAGGAGGGGGAAGGAAGAGAGGAACGAAGAAAAGACTGAATAAACCAAGTACCTTATAATTCAAAATGGAATCACAAGTTTAGGTAGTGATCATGATATAGCTTACCTTCTTTCTCTGCTGTCCTAGTTTAACTGTTTCCCTGTGGAAATGAATTATTTAAGACTGTATATACAGCCATGTCACCCTGAACGTGCCTGATCTCGTCTGATCTCGGAAGCTAAGCAGGGTCGGGCCTGGTTAGTACTTGGATGGGAGACCACTTAGGATTACCAGGTGCTGTAGGCATTAAAAAAAAAAAATTGTATATACTGAGATGGGGAGAGCAGGGTGGCATCCAACAGTTTCTACTAGGTATATATATTTTATCCTTTGGCTTCTTCTCTAGGCTTGTATGATATGAGAAGATGACTAAGAGGTCAGCAAAAAGACATTTACACAGAATAAACTGAGAAACCACATTCCTTTTCCCCACCCATTCCCAACACACACTTAATGGCTTTTCTTCTCTATAGTTTCTATTCCTTGATTTGTTTTTGCTCTTAATTATTTCGATCTAATTAACTCCCCAGAATTTTATAGTAAAATATTCATTTTATCACACTAAAAAGTCTCCATGTTTCGTGTAAAACAGCAGTTTCGAGAGCTGTTGAGACACACTGCAATCAATTGTACTGCAACCAATTTGTTATTAATAGCCAGTCAACAGATATATGGAGGACCATGCACTGTTCTAGGCACTGTGGATAAAACATTAAATGACATCAGGTCGCTCCCTTCAAAGTATTGCTTTAAGTAAAGAGTGGATCTGTGGATATCCCTATGATAACATTTCTCGTTTGCATTCCAGTATGCTTTGTTGTATGGGATGAAAAAGGGGGCGGGGGATTTATTGTAAATGCAAATGTAAATTTTTATGGTTGTGATAAAAACAAGTTAAAACTCTCAAATTTAAAAGACTCCCTTTGCAGCTGATTCTAAATGTTAATATAATCACTAATTTTCCAAGTTTACTTCTAAACTAAAAGCCATTTTCTTAACTCCCCCCTCTCCCCCCCAAAAAAAGAGCAAATGGTAACATATGGTACTTTGATCTATCTTAGAAAATTATAGGCCTTCTAATTCGGTACCATATATACAAATTCATGAATTTAAATTTGCTCTCCCCAAAAGAAGTTTACTAATGCAAGAAGGAAAAAAACATCTACATGAAATTATTACCTTAAGTTAATGGCTTTTTTGAGCCTGTAATTTGCATTTGGTTATTATTAGAACCATGGGAAGGTGGTGTTAGATACCTTAGAAAACTTGAGAATGTGAATGTAGAGTGTGATTTGGCAGTATCATAAAGCCCTGCCTCCTCTCCAGGTTTTGGAGTGGAATGTATAACCGCTTTGAAAAGGGACTGCAGCCCCGACAGTCAGTTACAGATTACCTCATGGCAGTGAAGGAGGAAACCCAGCAGCTGGAGGAAGAACTCGAGGCCCTAGAAGAAGTAAGACACACTTGCTTTTGTTAATTTGTTTTCTGTGCTTATGTCTTGATGATCACGGCTCCGTCAAAGTCTCTCATGTCTTAGGATATGTGAAATGGAGCCAGCATAGCCATTTCACATCTTTAGCCAGTGGATAACTTTAAACACAGCCCCACCAGGTAAACAACCAGAAAACCGAAGTCCAAACTTAAGCACACTTAATATACTTCAGACATCTAGTTTGTGGCTAATTTCCATGGCTTGTTGAACTAGTTGGCTGTTCCTACAGTAGGTCAAGTTTTGTTCTTACTGTTATTTGGGAGTACTATAATAAATTCTTTTTGGAGAATTCATGAAAAAAATAAGATTCAAAGTGAAAGAACAAAATCAGATATATATACTTGTAGTAAAAATTTATTCTCCATTTTTAAGAATTATATGATAAAAAACATCCTGATGCCTGGGCTTCTAAGCCTAAAGATTCTGATGGAGATTCCTTAGAGTGCCATAACTGTGACTTGCCAACAGGGCTGAGAATTAAAGAACATGTACAGAGAATAGGAGGCATGGTTTAGATTTTTAGAATTCTGGAGCTGCGGTAAAACTGCCATTCAAAGTCCACTCATGTCATCACTGGGCCAGTTTTATTCACTCTTGCTAAAAATATCCAAGCTTTCTGAAAAGCTTCAGATTCTATTAATCTATTCCAGTATTCTGTTAAGATATTAATAAAAATTACTTCAGATATCTAATATAACCTTAAAAACCTTTCACACTTTTCCTTATACAAAGACAAAATTCCTTAGCCTGGCATGTGAGGTTTTCCCACAGTCCAGTCTCATGTCCCTTTTAAACTTTATTCTCCACTCTTCCTCTTGCTCAAATATAACTGTTCTCTGCTTCTTGTACACAACTCACACCTTCCTACCTTTTTTCTTCTGTCCCTCCTGTCAGAAATGTTCTATCACCAACATGTCCAAGTTTAATTTCTTCATAGTCCTGTTAAAATGCTCCTTCCTCACTGAAGTTTACCCCAATCTCTTCCCTCTAACCATACCACCCTGATCTATGGAATAATTTTTGCCTCTTCCAAATTCCTACATGAAGTCTGCCTCTTTACTTCTTTAAGGCTTGATTTGTATTTATGTCCATCCCTCATATTGCCCAGCAGTGCTTTTGCACATAATTTAATGTGCTTTTTGAATATGTAATAGTTGATACACACACACAATCTTCCTAGCTGACACCAAGAGATGAAATCTGGTAAAATGTATATTGAACCCAGATGTCCAAAATCTGATCAATAGATAAAGAAAATGTGAGATATATATACAATGGAATATTATTCAGCCATAATAAGGAATGTAGGGCTGATACATGTTACAATGTGGATGAACCCTGAGAACATAAGCTGAATGAAAGAAGACACAAAAGGCTACATAATATATGATTCCACTTACATAAAATATCCAGACTAGGCATATCCATAGAGAGATAAAGCAGATTGGTGGTTGCCAGGGGCTGTGGAGAGAGGGGAATGGAGAGTGACTGCTAATGGGTAAGGGGTTTTCTTGGGGGATGAAATTATTTTGGAATTAGATAGTGGTGAATGGTTGTACAACCTTGTGAATGCTCTAAAAACCACTGAATTGTATAAATTAAAAGGGTTTTATGGTGACGTATCTCAGTTTTAAAAACTGGTAAAACCTTATTCCTGATTTCTTAAAAATGTATTTTGAGTTCATAGGATGAAAATCACTATGTAAAACCATATAGGTATAGAAAGAAGGCTGAGTACTGATTGCCAGATGCTTTACCTTTATTTATTTATTTTTTTGCATTTTGTAGAAAACCTATGCTAAGGCAGGTATTACCATTCTAATATTAGAGATGAAGAAACCAAGCCTCACAGAATCTGTTTTGTCCAAGGTCATAAAGTCTACCTTTGAATCCAAGTCCATCTAAATCCCATGTTCTTAACATTACACCCAGCTAAAAGGTAATGAATACTAAAGGCATGCATATGTAAACTATGATTTTACCTTGAAATTGTTATTTTTTAGAGGCTGGAAAAAATCCAAAAAGTCCAGTTAAATCGCAGTAAAGTGAAGAGTAAGCCAAATGAACCCAACAAACACTCAGGCTTTTCTACCTCAGACAACAGCACAGCCAACACTCCTCAGGATTACAGTGGGAATATGAAATCATTTCCATCCAGGAGCCCTTCACAAGGCGATGAAGATTCAGCTCTTATTCTAACCCAAGACAATTTGAAAAGCTCAGATCCAGATCTGTCAGCCAACAGTGATCAAGAGTCTGGGGTGGAGGATTTGAGCTGTCGGTCTCCAAGTGGAGGGGAGTGTGCACCAAGCGAGGACAGTGGCAAGGACCGGGATTCTGACGAAGCTGTGTTTCTCACTGCCTGAAGTTTCCCTTTGGAGTTCCAAAATAAAGGACACACACTTTCCAAAAATAAGGGAACAGTGCAATTTAAAATAAAAAAAATAAATAAGAATGGTGCGTGTCATTGAGAACTGAAAAATGTAGCAATGAAAAGGGGGGTAAAAGTCCAACTCTTAGTTTCTTTAGATGTTAAAGAACAGGAAGTAGCCATTTTTTTTATCAAATAAATATTAAGGAAATTCCCCATTTTGAAAATCATTCTAGACTATGAAATTTTATTCACTACAAAGCAATGACCTCCACCATCACCTGAGGTTATCAATACAAATCTTCCTCGTCGTAGCATGCATCTGCTCAAAAAATGCCCTGACCCCTTTGCCTCATACTTTATATTGCCTTCAGTCTTTCCCCTTATTTCACTTCCTGATGCATATTTGTTTTCTAAAACATTTGATGTTACCTGCCTACCTGACTCTGTCATCAGTATTTTTAATAACAAAGCACATTGCTGAGATGCACCCTTTTTGGTTAATACATATATTTCTGTAATTGAGAAGCTTTGTAATTGCTTAAGTTTATCTTTGTTTTAATGATCACTTTAACTTTTCCTTAAATATATTTTGAATTATAATAATTTTGTTGCCTTTTCCTAGAATCTCTTAAACGTTTAAAACATGTTAAAACTTCTAACTCACTTTTTCTCTAACACAGGTCTAATACCTAATAAAGTAGACACAACATTTATTCTCTAGATCTTAAATATGAATGCACATCATATTAGCTTTTTTATTTACAACCTTTCATTACTATTCCAGAGACTACATTACCAAGACAGTGTGGGCCAACCACCAGCTTGAAACCTGAAGTGTAACAATATAAAGTTAGTAGATAACATTTCAACAAGGGAAAATCTCAGTTAAGAACTAGAGAATTTGTTATTTCTATTTAACCAGTAGAATAAGTTCTGTCATCAATCATTTTAGAAATAACTGGTTAATATGGTTTAAGTAATATTAATAACATGACAATCACTGACTAAATTAGTTTTGAAAAGTGTTTTGCTAAAATGTACATCTGAAGCATAATCATTCCCGTCTATTAATAAAAAAATGGGACTTTACTGGTGACTAAACTTTTGATCTGAAGAAACTTAGTGGAGAAAGTTACTATGTTTTGATGGAGGTAAGTAACATTCACACCATAGTTTTCAATTATTAGGTACAAGCTATATCAATATTTAAATACGTGAAATTTTTAAATAGGATAATGTATTTTGCCAAAATAAGAAAATAGAAAGGAGTGACGTCACCAAGATGGTGACAAAGGTCATTCCTGACTCCACTCCCCTTCACAAGAACTAACAACTATTTATGGACAGGATACATTGAGGGAATCCTAGAACTCAAGATTGAAGCCAAGGCACCCCTCTGAATGACAAAGACCAAAATGGACTACATTAGAAGGGTCAGAGGAATGGCTGCATGTTGACCAAATTGCTTCTCCCCCAGGACGGTGCAGCACCACACTGAGAGGTCTCCCCTGAGCCTACAGTTCCTCTAGTAGGAAGCGAGTGCCCAAGGGTGACATCCAGCATCCCAGCATGGTGGGTCACTTCATGAGAAGCCCTGCTCTGGTTTTGCCCCACAGGGACTGAAGGGGAATTCGCAGGGCTCCACCACTGGGAGTCTGATTGAGATGAAGAAGTGGGGAGGGCTTCAAATGACCAGCACTCAGGTCTTGGGTGAAGGAGTATCTACCTTCAGAGCCCAAGCAGTAGTCTCAACCAGTAGCTTTGCTCATCTGCAGTTTCAGGTGAGTAGTGCAGTCTGACCAGGGAATTCACAGGGTGCAGGTCTGCCTAATTTGGGTTTCCAAATGAGTTCTAGCCCTGGAGCACAGTCTACCTACGCCCAGGTGGAAGAGCTGAACCATACCCCAACCTGCTGCAGATCGGGGCTCCTGGCTCCTCCTGATCAGAAAACCTGTTTGGGAAAATTTGGGAGTTGCCTGAAATAGACCCTCTCAGTCCTGCCCAGGCAGGAGCCAGATAGTCCTGCCTGCTGCACAGCATTGCCCCCACCCTATATGACAAAGAGAACACCTGGAAGCTATGTTATCCAGCAACTCTTGAGCCAAGAAGTGGGTGAACAGAGCTGACTGCTCTCAGAGCCAAGCCAGTGGCCCAGTTTGACCACAGAACTTGGAGCATGGATTAGTTTAAGTCAATATCACAACAAAGAGCATTACTGGCTTTCGAGCTGCTGCTTGCGCTGCACCCGAGCAGGGAAACTAGTTCGCAGACTCACATTGTTGAATACAGCCTTCAACCGACCCAACCAGGGAAACTTACCAGAACACACAGGAAGTTACACAGCCCCAATGGCACTGTTTAAAGTGGCACCTGGACAGAATGGCACCTATCTACAGAGAAAAACTGATGGTCTCACCTGACTAGGATATTCAGTGCACACTGTTGCCTGATTTGGGTCCCAAACAACAAGCCATGTGGGCAGGGAAGCTAATTCATAGCTCCATCTACTGCTGAGTAGTCCCTACTGTCTACTAGGCCTGACCAGAGAATCCAGGCAACTGCAAAACCCATTCTACAACTTCACTTGAGTAGGGAACCAAGCCAGCAGTCCTATCCAGCTGTCATCAATAGTGGCACACTCTCCCACCCCTAACCTCATAGCTTAAACACTTGCCTCCCACAAAAGTTGACCCCAATAGTAGCCCTACCTGCTGAAGGACATTACCAGAAGACGGGTCCAGAATCTCAGATTGAGCTGACTGGTGGAGAATGGTCTCTTTCAAAGCAAACCTGCCAAGTCTGGAATAGGAGACCACTCACTCAAATGTGCATATACCAACATCAGGAATCAAGGATCATGAAAAATCAGGTAAGTATGAAACCATCAGAGGAAACTAATAAAGCTCTAAAAACTAATCCTAAAGAAATGGAGATGAATGAACCATCAAAGAATTCAGAATAACCTTCTTCAAGAAGTTTAGTGAACTACAAGAATACAGAGACAAATAAAATTAGGAAAACAATGCATGAACAAAATGAGAAGTTCGAAAAAGAAACAGAATTCATTAAGGAAAAAAATTGTAGAGCTGAAAAAACAATAACTGAACTGAAGAATTTAATAGCTTAAAATCAGACTTAACCATTCAAAAGAAAGAAACAGTGATTGGAAGATAGGACAATTGAAATTATCTAGTTGGAGGAGCTAAGAGAAAAAAAAGAATGAAAAAGAGCAAAGAAAGTCTATGAGAATTATGGGACACAATGAAAAGTAACTATCTCAATTATGAAAATTACAGAAGGAGAAGAGAAAATAAAAGGGACAGAAAATATAATTAAAGCAATAATGGCTGAAAACTTCCTAAACCTGGGGAAATACACTTCCAGATACAAGAGGCCTAAAAGATCCCAAATAGGTTGAATCTGAAAAAGTCTACACTAAGCTACATTATAATTAAATTGTCAAATGTCAAAGACAAAGAACTTTGAAAACAGCAAGGCAAAAGAGGGAAAGATACACAGGAAACTGCCCTCCCCCACCCCCAAGGACTAATGGCAAATTTCTCAATAGAAACATTTTAGTCCAGAAGAGAATAGGATGACATATTCAAAATATTGGGGGGAAAAAACCTGTGAACCAAGAATTCTATACCCAGAGAAGCTGTTCTTCAGAAATAAAGGAGGGATAAACACTGTCCTGCACAAACAAAAGTTGCCTTACAATAAATGCTAAAGGGAATTCTTTGAGTGGAAATAAAAGGATGCTAATTAACATCATAAAAACATAAGGCAGTGTAAAACTCACTGGTAATGGTAAATATACAATCAATGATGGATTCTGTAATGGAGTAATGGTTGATACATAATTCGCAAGTACAGCTGAAGTGTAAAAGTTAAAAAACAAACATAGTCAAAATAACTATAACAATGATAATCTTATTACAATATAAAAATTTCATGTAAATTGTAACATTAATACCTGAAACGTGAGGGGGAGAAGGAAAAGTATAAAGCTTAAGAATTCTATTAAAGTTGTTTTTAGTTAAAAATAGGATGTACTAATTTTAAGATATTTTTTGTAGGCCTCATGGTAGCCACAAAGAAAAAACCTATAATAATTACACTAAAAAATATGATAAAGATGTCAAAGCATACTGATACCACAATATATCAAAACACAAAATAGACAGCAGGATAAAAACTAGGAACATAATCTATCAAGCAATCAGAAAACAATGAACAAAACGGTAATAAGTCCTTACTTCTCGATAATTAAATGTAAATGGATTAAATTTGCTAATCCCAAAACAACATAGCTGGATAAGAAAAATAAGATCCAATGATATGCTGCCTATAACAGACTCATTTTAGCCATAAAGACAAACACACTGAGAGTGAAAGGATGGAGATATTTCAAGCAAATGGTAACAACAAAAAATCAGGGGTAACTATCAGACAAAACAGACTTTAAAAACAGTAAAAGGTAAAATAGGTCATTACATCAAGAAGATACAACAACTGTAAATATTTTTGCACAACATTGGAGCACCTAATTACATAAAGCAAACTAAGAGAGCTAAAAGAAATAAACAGCAGTACAACAGTAGTAGGAACTTTAAGACCCTACCCCCAACAACAGATTATCCAGATAGAAAATCGATATGGAAACAGCATTTTGAACAACACTATAGGCCAAATGGTTCTAACAGACAAACATAGAACAATCTACCCAACAACAGCAGGGTACGCATTCTTCTCAAGTACACGAGAACATTTTCTAAAATAGACCATATCTTAGGCCATAAAAGATGTCTTAGAAAATACAAGAAGGTTAAAATCACACCAAGTTATCTTCTCTGACCAGAATGGTAGTAAGAAACTAGAAATCAATAGCAAGAGGAAAAATGGAAAATTCACAAATACATGGAAATTAAACAACATTTTCTTGAACAACCAATGGAGCAAAGAAGAAATTAAAGGGAAATAAAAAAATATCTTGAGACAAATAAAAATAGAAACAATACACCAAAACTTACGGTATATAGCAAAAGCAGGGAATTTCATAGCAATAAACACCTACATTATGAAGCAAGAAAGATCCCAAATAAACAACCTTAACTTTATGTTTTAAGGAACTAGAAAAAGAATGAACTGAGCCCAAAGCAGAAGGAAGGAAAGAGTAAAAATTAGAGCAGAACTAAATGAAATACAGAACAGGAAAACAACAACAAGATGAACAAAACTAAGAATTGGTTCTCTGAAAAGATAAAACTGACAAACCTCTCCCTTGATTTACCAAGTAAAAAAGAGGACCCAAATCACTAAAATTATAAATGAAAAAGTAGACATTACAAATGATACCACAGAAATACAAAAACTCATAAGAGGCTACTATGAACAATTATATGCCAACAAACTGGGCCACCTAGAAGAAATGGAAAAATTCTTAGAAACACAAATTACCAAGACTGAATCGGAAAGAAATAAAGTCTCAACAGACCAATTATTAGTAAGGAGACTGAATCAATCAAAAATCTCCAAGTGAGATAAGCCTAGGACCAGATGGATTCACTAGTGAGTTTTTATCATTTAATGAAAAATTTATGCCAATCCTTCTCAAAGTCTTCCAAAAAAACTGAAAAGGAGGAACATGGCCAAACTCATTTTATGAGGCTTCATCCTAATACCAAAGACAAAAAGACACTACCAGAAAAGAAAGCTACAGATCAATATCCCTGATGAATATAGATGCAAAAATTCTCAATAAAATACTAGCAAACCGAATTCAGTGGCCTAGTAAAAGGATCATCCACCATGACCGAGTGAGATTTATACCTGGGACACAATGATGGTTATACATATGCAAATCAATCAACATGATACATCACGTTAATAGAAGAAAAAAAGTCATATTATCTCGAAGATGCAGAAAAAGCATTTGACAAAATTCGGCAACAGTTTATGATAAAAACTCAACAAATTAGATATAGAAGGACATACTTCAATATAATAAAGGCATATATGATAAGCCCACAGCTAATATCATACTCAATAGTGAAAGGCTGAAAGCTTTTCCTATAAGATAGGGAACAAAAACAAGAGTGACTATTCTCACCACTCCTATTCAGCTTAGCACTGGAATTCTTCACAGATCATTTAGGCTAAAAAAAATAAAATAAAAGGCATCAGAATTGGAAAGGAAGAAGTAAAACTGCCTCTATTTGCAGATGACATGATTTTATATGTAGAAAATACTGAAGACTCAAACAAAAAACTATTAGATCTAAACAAATTCAGTAAAGCTGCAGGATACAAAACATACAAAAATCAGTAGCACTGCTATACACTAACAATGAATTATCTAAAAAAGAAATAAACCCATTTACAATTGCATCAAAATAAATATTTAGAAATAAACTTAACCAAGGACATGAAAGATCTCTATTCTGAAAATTACAATGAAAGAAATCAAAGATGACACAAATGAAAGGTATCCTGTGTTCACAGACTAGAAGAAATAATATTGTTAAAATGTCAATACTACCAAAAGACATTGATAGATTCAATACAATACCTATCAGGATTGCAATGGCTTTTTTTTTACAGAAGTCAAAAAAACTTCTCTAAAATTTATATAACTACAAAAGACGCCAAATAGCCAAAGCAATCCTGAGAAAGAAGAACGAAGCAGGAGGCACCACACATCATGATTTTAAGCTTTACTATAAAGCTGTAGTAATCAAAACAGTATGGTACTGACATGAAAACATAAGAAAAAAGCTCCTTGACATAATTCTTGGCAACGATTTTTTGGATATGATGCCTAAAGCACTAGCAACATAAGCAAAAATAAACAAGTGAGACTATGTCAAACTAAAAAGCTTCTGCACAGCAAAAGACAACAAAGTGAGAAGATAACCTATAGAATGGGAAAAAAATATTTGCAAACCATATGTCTTATAAGGGGTCAATATCTAAAATATATTAAAAACTCATATTATTTAATAGCAAAAATACAAGTAATCCAATTAAAAAATGGTCACAGGACCTGAACAGACATTTTCCAAAGAAGATACACAAAAGGCCAACAGTTACATGAAAAGATGTTCAACATCACTAGTCACTAGGAAAATGCAAATCAAAACCACATGAGATATTGCCTCACACCTGTTAGGATAGCTATCATCAAAAAGGCAAGAGATAACAAATGTTGGTGAGCATCTGGAGAAAAAGGAACCCTTATGCCCTGTTGGTGGGACTGTAAACTGGTACAGCCATTATGGAAAACCAGTATGGAGGATCCTCAAAAAGTTAACAGGACCACCTTATGGTCCAGCAATTCCTCTTCTGGGTATATATCTAAAGGAAACGAAAACACTAACGAAAAAAATATCTGACAAAACTGCAGTATATATACATATATACACAAGAGAATATCATTCAGACATAAAAATTGAGGAAATTCTGTCATTTGTGAGAACATAGATAGACTCTGAGGGCATTATAAGTGAAATAAATCAGAGAAAGACAAATACTATATGACCTCACTTACATGTGGAATCTAAAGGGAAAAATACCCGCAAATTTGTAGAAAAAAAGATCAGATTTGTGGATAGCACAGGTGGGGAGTGAGGGTTGGGCGAGATGGAGAAAGGTGGTCAAAAGTACAAACTCCCAGTTATAAGTAAGTACTGGGGATGTGATGTGCAGCATGGTAACTACAGTTAACAGTTATATATATGAAAGGTGTTAAAAGTAAATCCTAAGAATTCTCACCACAAAGTATTTTTTCTGTTTTTGCTTTCTGTTTTTATTGGTCTATCAGATGACAGATACTTAACTAAACTTATTGTGGTCATCATTTCACAATATATGTAAACTGAAACCATTATGCTGTATACCTTAAACTTATGCAGTGATAATATGTCAATTATATCTCAATAAAACTGGAAAAAGAGAAAGGGCAAGAAAGCTACATTGCTAAAATTTTTAATATGAAAGATTCGAAGGGAGTGTAACAGTATATATAAATGAATACATTATAATTGTAATTATGTTAGTTGTATTTAAAAATGAAACAACTTTGTTAAGAGACTTGTAATATAAAAGTACTGTTAATGTAAATAAAGCAAGTAATTCTTTCCAAATAACAAAATTTGAGCAGTTCCAAATTAAGTACAAGGGATGTTTATTCTTTTTCTGCAATATATTATGTGTAGTAGGGAAAAACCTTATTAAATTTTTAGGATACAGTCATAATGGCTTTTGTATTTTTGTAACATAACTCACTTCATGCCACTCCTATAGTTAACTCTTAGAAAAATTTCCTTGACTAATACGAAAGATACAACTTTAATCTCTTCCACTTGACAATGTTCATCTATAAAAATAAATAATAAATTTTAAAAACTGATAGTCAATATACCAAAAGAACTATGCAATTATTTTGAAAAGCAAATAATGTAAATATTTGATATTTTAAAAATTTAATTCTTAATGCGATGTCTTTCACATCAAACTCTTTTTCAGCCTCCCCAAACACCTTACAATTTATGCAAATGTTCATTTAGACTATTTATTAGAAGTTATTCTAACACTGAAATTTATATAAAAGGTTACATTTATTGCTTATTAAACTTCAGTGTGCTTTCACAGAGCCTTGAAAGAACATGGCCAATTCAACAAGACTAAAATCTCTAACAGTACATTCTCATTTTAATCCAAACATCCATCAGGAAGTGTTTTAGGGCTGTTTGAAAGCATAGGAAATAAACAAATAAACAAATGTTAAACTGACTCAAGGTAGATTACTCCCCAATTAGTAATATTTAGAGCTCGACTTATTATTTAGTGATATTCAGGAAAATTTAATGATATCAAGTAGGTAAGAATTTTGATCATGATGCAGTAATCAACAAAGGAACTTTTTTAGAATAAAGGTGAAGAGAATGGAAACCTTGGCATATATTTTTATTCTTTAATAGCACACAATTAGTTTCTTTCCCAAAAAATCAATTTGAGCTATCTTTTAAATATATATAAATTATGATCAAACTTACCTCAATTCCAATATAAATTTCCTAGTTTATTCCTAGAAAATATTCCTTTGAAACATAGCTTTAGTATGTATCTCATTTAGAAAACTTTCTTCTATTTTGAGATAATTAGCCTTTACATATCTATGCATTACAATCTCCTACTCTGAATAATCTAAAAACTCCTAAGCTCTACCATTCTAATTTCTATCTGGTCATTTATTATGTTAAAGTAAAATCAGAATTTCTGCTTTAGCAGGCATTTTTTCACCTCCTCTGGCACTGCTTCTCCAATATGAACAATTTTAAGAAAATATAGCCATAAAATTACAAAAAAGTCACTTACTTTCTGTTGCAACAGAATCGAAAATTCAGACATTCAAATGCAGACATTTTTCCATCCTGAATGACTTACATAACCAAATCTGATTTTATCTGTTAAATGCATATAATGATCAAACTCTTTTTAATGAATGGGTTTTAAGGAGTTTATCTAATTTTGGAAGGAGAAAGCAAGCTATGCTAACTAGTATAAAATGAAACTGGGACAGTTCAAGTTTAAAGAATAAAAAACACTGAGATGAATTACTTCTTTGTTATATAGAGAGATTTACTGTGCAATATATATTTTTTTCTTTTTAGTGGAGGGAAGATAGATAAGAACCTAAACACTTAAACCATGTTTGACTTGTAGTTGTATTACATAGTATTTCCACAATGCCTCAGTCTTAGTAGGTGCTTAATAAAATTAGTAGATCAAATGAATTAATGTCCTTTTAGAATGGCTGTGTTCTGCTTGAGTCTTGTTCTGTGCTCTACCTGATTTCTAAGAAAGCTACCTGATTGCTTGCAAAAGACTACGACTATTATGCCCTCCACTGCAGTGACTGCTGGGGAAAACTGAAGATCTGCTGGCCAGTGCAGTATGGAAAGGTTTCTGAATATCCAGAAGACTTTGTCACAGATTTGAAACACTCACCTCAGTTATCTATAAATCTGGAATAATAATTGTACCTTACTTGTTTTAGCCACTTTGAAGATTAAAACTGCATGCCCTTAGCAGTGCCAGGAAGACAGGTGATTAATAAAAGATAATTTCTTTATCCAAACTACATCTTTATAGTCCATGTGAATACTTGCCCTTTCATAAACATAAACTAAGTATTAAATATATATCAAGTCTAAGAAAATAATTTTGTTTTTCCTAAAGTTCTACTCACAAAAACATGTTAGGTAAACAAGAATAAAGAAAAGATAAAACTGTACTATAGGCTAGTGTTTGGAATGACAATTGGGATGAAATTTAAACAAAAATATGCATTATGTTGTTTGTGATTTAGATACTACCTTATCAAGCCTCAGACATATAGTTCAAGATTTTTTCCTTCAATTCTGTAACACGGAATAAAAACAAATTGCTGAACATAATACAAGCTAAAAAGAAAATTCAATTAAATTAATTAAAAACAACTTTTAAAAATTAAATATTAATTTTATTAGTATAACTTTCCTTTATGAAACCCTAATTCATAGTGAAGGTCAGAAAATTTCATTGACGTTGTTACGTCTAGATTTGCTATTTATTAACAAAGACTGTTTTTTAACTTCAACATTAGTAATTTAAAGAGCAAATCCTTATCCAACCACAAACTCATCCGATACTTACATTAAAAAATCAGCATGAAAATTTATGTTGGACTAGTTTAAGTAAAAGGCAATTTTTTTCTATTAGGTAAAATACTTACCTGTATTACTTCTTAAATGCATCTTTAATTTTAAAAATAAAACAACACTATATAAAAGTAGCTGGTTTATTCTTTTGATTTATTGTATTAAAAATTACTTTCTTGAGATGGCACATTGGCAGGTTTGGTGTTTCCTGACACTAGGAATATTTAAAACAAATTATTTTTGAAAGTCTGATCATCTAGAAAGAAAAAGGAAAAATAGGAGTCTATAGTTGAAAACAATAATTTTTTGAAAAAGGTTGAGGAAAAAATCTAAACAAACCATTCTTGATAAAGAAATGAGGCAGTTTCAAATTAAAAATACAAATTTAAGTGAAGTAATTTTATAAAATATTGAAACTAGCTAAAATTACATGCATAGGTATTTAACCAATAATGAGAGGAATAGCAGTAGAACTTAAATATGATAGGATTTATCAATAATAAATAAACATTTTTAGTGCAAATAGTACAGAAAAATTTCTCAAAGCCAAGATCATAGCAATCATTCTAATCTGTACAAAATCAGTCTCAGTTCTGTATATAATCTATATAGTGTATCTATGAATTCAGCTGCTGTGATGAAATACCAATTTGCAAATCATAAATATAAATGTGCTTAGTTTTGTGTCCCGTTCGTCTCTTGGCAGTTCATGCTTTCAGGAAAATCTAGGAAGAAAAGAAAATTTAAAAATCTAAACTTTAGAATGATAAATTAAACCATTCTTGATAAAGAAATGAGGCAGTTTCAAATTAAAAATACAAATTTAAGTGAAGTAATTTTATAAAATATTGAAACTAGCTAAAATTACATGCATAGGTATTTAACCAATAATGAGAGGAATAGCAGTAGAACTTAAATATGATAGGATTTATCAATAATAAATAAACATTTTTAGTGCAAATAGTACAGAAAAATTTCTCAAAGCCAAGATCATAGCAATCATTCTAATCTGTACAAAATCAGTCTCAGTTCTGTATATAATCTATATAGTGTATCTATGAATTCAGCTGCTGTGATGAAATACCAATTTGCAAATCATAAATATAAATGTGCTTAGTTTTGTGTCCCGTTCGTCTCTTGGCAGTTCATGCTTTCAGGAAAATCTAGGAAGAAAAGAAAATTTAAAAATCTAAACTTTAGAATGATAAATTTTCAAACCTTTACATTTTCTTCACATTAAGATTTATCTATAAAAAGATAACTTGACCATGAGGTAAAAAGAGGTGGAAAAAAGATTCTAGCACGTTCATATAAATAAGTGGTTACTTAGGGCCCAATTTCTTCTCAAGCTGTAAGAAATGAACTCTTGATATTAAAAAGCAACCCTTACCCTCAGGGACTGACAATATGATTTATAAAATAAAACAATTAAATGTTAGCACTAACATTAAGGACATTGAGAGAAGGGGCAGATGAACGGGAGATGAGAAATAGCTGTCATTTTCCTCCTTGTAACCTGCTTCCTCTTTTAGGGAACCAATCATGCTCCTTTCTCAAAGTCCACTCCTTTGGCCCAGTCGAGTGGGCAAAGGACCACATGTCACTAGTCTACAGATTAAACTGTTAAGGTCAGGATGGACACTACCTATCCTGGGCCAATCTCTTTCCCAGGGATTTGTAGTGAGACTCCTGAAAGTCTCCACTGGTGTGTGAACTGTCATGATGCGATCAGGCCTGCAGGCAGCAATGGTTGCAGCATGTGCAAGTGTAACAAAGAAAGATTCTCTGAAGAGCAAGTAAGAAAGCACATGAGAGCAAAAGACAGAAAAAAACAGATATATAGAAATGAGAAACAAGCATCCCTGGAAAGGGTGTGAGAAAAAGGAGCTGCTTGAGTTATTGTGGCCTCTAGTCATGCTTTCACTCTCAGGTGATTAAGCTTTACTTTCCTGTATTTAGCTCTATAATGTATCCCAGCATTATCCAGTAACACAATTTCTACTTAAACTTGTTGGGGTGGGAATTAGTTCTTATGACCAAATCATTCTCTGCACAAGAAAGGTGGGAAAGGAAAAGGAAAGGTGTCTTGAGATCAGGTAAAAGAATGAACAAAGACATGATGTAGAAAAAAGAAGTCTACGGACATGCCACCCTGAACATGCCCGATCTCATCTGATCTCAGAAGCTAAGCAGGGTTGGGCCTGGTTAGTATTTGGATGGGAGACCACCTAGGAAGATCAGGTGCTGTAGGCATTAAAAAAAGAAAAAAGAACATGACACATGAGACAACGTAAGGACAGCATGGAAAGTTAAAATGGATGATCTCATTTGTCAGATTATAAAGGCTTAAAATCACAGAGAAATTTGGCATTGATACTGTCTTTGCTAGGGGCTCCTTATAGGTTCTAAAACAGAGATATTATATTGTAGAATGGTCTTTTAGGAAGATTCTATCTGTGCTGTGTAGAAGGAAGAAACTGTAAAGTCAGGGGACTGGCCAGAAAATTGCTGGAATAATCCTGGTGTGAGATGAAAAAGACACAGACTGGAAGTTCATTTTAAAAGAAGAAATGACAAAGGAGACTATTGAGGAATATGTCAATTAAGTGATATGATATATTCCACATACCAGCAAAGTATAGTGTACAACAATACATAAGTAGCCATCAAATATTGAAAAAAAAATTTTCCTTTAAGCCAACATCATACTAATAACCAGAAGATTTCTACTTACTATATGCTTATGTAAATAACATTATACTTAACATATAATGCAAAATATTCTATAAGTTGTATAGCACAATAGCTATAATGACACTATTATACTTTAAGCTGGCTGAACAGGCACTAGTAAACACTTCTATTAAAGAACAGTCATGCAATAGCCTAGACTCAAACCTTCTGGAATACAATTTACCTATAGTGGAGCATGAAACTGGCTGTGCATTACTATCACCTGTTGAAGTTTCTCTTCCTTGGCTCTTCTACAGTGGCAAATCTAGAAGATAAATTATTTAAAGTAACAGTCACTTCTCCAATAATTTGCCTACTATTTCCTACATTACGATGCAATTCTAAGTAAGATTCTTTAACCTGTTGACATTATTTAAGTTTCGAATGTTTATGGTAGCTCAGAATTTAATAATTAAAAAAAATTTTGTTTGTAAGATAACTGTTTCCTGCAAAGTTTGAGAGTATAAAACAAATTCTGATCCTTTATATCAGTTTAGATTAAATAATATCAAATATCCGTGTTTTAAAAATATGAAATAAATCCTACCATTGTTAATCATGAAGGTTAACAAAAACTTGAAGGTACAGTTATATAGTACCAAAGAACAATAGATAAAAAATCAGTGCTTTATTAATGCTATAATACAGTCATTAGTGTGCCTGAACTTCAATTTTCTCTCACGGAAAATGGGGATAATAAAATCTGCCCTACCTTCTTTAAGGGGATATGCATATACATAGCACACATGTTTTACAAAGTTTAGTAACGAAAGGTTATTTTTTAAAAGTGATGTTTCAGAGAAATTACGAAAATATTTAGGACTCTATCAAGGGGCAGCAAACTGCTAAGCAGACTTTTCTTAAAATATAATGACAATAAAACAGAAACTAATCTAGAATGTTACTATTAAAATTTTTTTAAATCTCTGTTGATTATTCTCTTTTAGAATAACTTGTGAAATAGGTTATTCAGGAGTATATTACAACTATTAAGATGAGACTCATGCTGATTTATTACCTTTACTACAGAATGATACAGACACTATCATTTCTGAGACAAAACTATTATTTGATTTACCTGCTTGTGTACTCACAACAAGCAGGTTTAAAGTGATAGTAGGATGTTGCTATCATTCCCAACAGAGGCTCTTCAATTTCCCCTCATGGCACTCAAGAGTCCAGCTCAATAATGTGCTAACATTTTTTTTTTTTTTACTCATGAAAATACTTAATTTGGTATTACGCTTCACTTGTCCTCAACCAAAGAGTATTACATACTGTTCTCTTTTCCATGAAGCTACTGAGAAAATCGTCTATTTCAGTTTTTCCCTCCAAGAAATCTTCAGCAATATTATCGGATTCTTCCTCAGCTTCATGTGCAGCTACTTTTAATCTTGCCTGTAGGGCACTTGCACTACAGCTCTGAAAAAAAAAAGAAAAAATCAAATACTATATTAGTTCATAACACTCAGAAAAACTCCTTAGAAAGAAAATGAGGCAGAGGTACGGAGAAGCATTCATTATATGCCTTGCATAGCCTCTTCTGGAGGAAATCTGCTACCACCTGGGCCCTCAGCTTTTAGAAATAGGGGTGGATACCTAACACAACAGAAACCAATGCATTGGCTGCAAACTATTAAATGAGATAAACTGGGCAAATCACTGTCCTCTTTTGGGCATTTAGCAATAAGATAATTGTGGTAGGCACCCTCTAGGACAGTGGTCCCCAACATTTTTGGCACCAGGGACCACTGTTCCTATGAGAATCTAATGTCCAAAAATCTGAGGTGGAGCTGAGGTAGTGATGCTAGGGCTGGGGAGTAGCTGCAAATACAGATGAAGCTTCACTCGCTTGCCCGCAGCTCACCTCCTCCTGTGTGGCCCAGTTCCTTAACAGGCCATAGACTGGTACTGGTCCACAGCCTGGATGTTGGGGACCCCTGCTCTAAGATGATCCCCAATGAACTCCATCTCCTGGTATTCCTGCCCTTGTACAATTCCCCTCCCCTTGAGTGTGGGCTGGACCTAGTGACTCGCTTCTAATGAAGAGAATATGACAAAAATAATGGAATTAAATTTAACCAGAGGCAAAAGACTTGTACACTCAAAACTACAAAACAATGCAAGAAATTAAAGACATAAATTAAGTGGAAAAATATCTCGTGTTCATGAGCTGGAAGACTTGATATTGTTAAAAATACTACTCAAAATGATCTAGAGTTAATTAAACCCCTATAAAAATCTCCATGAAGTTTTCTGCAGGAATAGAAAAACTCATCTTAAAATTCGTATGTCATCTCAAGAGACCCCAAATAGCCAAAGCACTCTTCAAAAAGAACAAAATTGGAGGATTCATACTGATTTATAAACCTATTACAAAGCTATAGTAATCAAAACTGTAGTACTAGCGATAAGAGACATACAGATAAATATAATAGCGAGCCTAGACATATACCTTCACGTACATGGTCAAATATTTCCAATGTGTGTGCCAAGAGCATTCAAATGGGGGAAGGAACAGTCTTCAACAACTGGTGCTGAGAAAACTGGATATCTATATACAGAATGAAGCTGAACCTTACCTTACCTTATATATAAAAAATTACTCAAAATGGATCAAGGAACTAAATGTAGGAACTAAAGCTATTTTAAGAATTGTCATTCTAGTGGCTATTAGGTGGTATCTCATTGTCATACATCACACACACAGAAATGTACAGGAACACATTATTTTCTTATCACTCTTGCAAACACTGGTTGTCTATTATACACGTTTGGATCACACAGATGATGGTATGTTGCTTATTATTATTGTTAGGTTGAGCATCTTTTCAAATGTTCCCATTTATTTATTCATTAAATATTTACTGTGTATCTACTATGTGCCAAGCACTAGACCAGGTATGGGGTACTCTGAGGGACTAAAAGTAGACAGGCTTCTGCACTTATAGCACCAACAGTCCAGTGAAGTGGTTTCCATACTTTTAGAGTACAAAAGATTTATCATATGCAGAGATTCTGAGTGAGCACATCTAGAGAAGAGTCTAAGAATCAAGGTTGTTTTTAAGCATTTCAAGAATCACTTCAAGCAATTGTTATACAAATGGTCCAGGGGGACAGAATAACTGTTACATCAAAATATTTACTGGACATTCTGACTTCTTCTTTCCTTTGCCTATTTATAAGTGCTTTTCATGAACCACTGTCATTAATATTTGTCATATATGCCATATTTGTTCTCTTTACTTCACATCTGACTTTATGATCTTCAAGTTTTAAATTTACATATAGCTTTGAAATATATCAGTTTCTTTTATGCTTCTGCCTATCGTATCATGCTTAGAAAGGATTTCATCACCAAAATCTTTAAAAAGAATCCTAGGAGATAGTTGCCATTCGTAATTTTATTGTTTCCACTTAAATACTCTCGAGTATCTTTCCATGTATGGTATATAAGAATCTTTTTTTTCTAAACGGACTGCCAATTATATAATTAAGTCCTTAATTTTTTCTAACTACACATATACACATGAGTGTGTTTCTGAACTACATAGTCTGTTCTATTGAACTATTTTTCTCTTCCTACAAAACTATTCTACTATTTAAATAATGTGGTTTTAAAATATATTTTGATATTGGGAAAGGTCTTCCTCATTCTTTCTTGTTATTCGAGCTCTTCTGACTACTGTTACCCATTTAGTCTTTCAAATGAACTTTAGATTCTGTCAAAATAAATAATACTTGGGATTTTGATTGGAAGTATATTAAAATTTTAAGTTATCTTGGGAAAAATGAAATCTTTATTAATACTGTCTTTTCAGTCCATGATTATTTGATGCTTTATTTACTCAAGTCTTCTTTTATGTCATTCCGTAAAGTTTCCTAACTTACTTCATTGGGTTCGGTTCTAAGTATTTTAGAATTTTGTTGTTATTGTAAAGGAATTTTTTTCTCTACTTCATTTTGCACTGACAGTTGCTGGAATCTAGAGAATAACTTTCTGAATTTGTTAGTATTTTTGTTTGTTTGTTTTTTGTAAACAACTGTTTCATCTTTTACATTATACCTTTTCTTGTCGTGTTGCAGTGGCCAGACTCTCCCAAGCAATGTTAAATAGCAGTGATATTGGGGTATCACTGTCTTAATCCTAACATTAATGGGATCCTGGAAATGTTTAGTCATTAAATGTGCTCTTTGCTGTTGTTTCTAGTATTTTTTAATCAAATTAAGGAATTAATTTCTACCTTAGTTTACTAAGAGATTGTATAAGGAATGATACTGACTACTGTGAAAAGTTTCTTTAGCATTTACTAAGCTTTAATGTGCATCTAAAAGTATTTCAGTTGATTCTCTCAGATTTTCTAGTTCAGAGTGAGGGAGTACTGCTTACATTTGACTCCTGACTCTGACACACACTTTCTATTTACATGACTTCAGAGAAAGTAGTTAATATCCCTGTGCCTCAGTTTGCTCATCTGTAAAACAGATAAATAGTAACAATACATACCTCAAAGGATTTTGAGGGTATAATGGGCAATGTATATAAATAGCCTAGATAATATAAAACACACAGTAATTGCTCAATGTTAGCTATTTCTCATTTCTTTTATTCTAAAGGATGACCATATCCAAAATCATTATAAATTTATATTCTCCTTTACCATCTTTTTTTGCTGTTGTTTTATTTCTATTTTATATTTTATATTGACTTTACCTTCTGGAATTCCTGATTTTAAAGATAATAGAATATTGTTAATTATGATGCTGATTACCAATATGAGATATAAACATTATATTCTCTATTCTTTTTATTTTTAAAGATTATTTTTTTCAGAAATGTGAGTCGAAATAAAATGCTTTTGATTTTTCGTATAACTAGATTTCTAGTATAAAATCTATCATTTATGGTGAATTATACTTTATATATTTTAATATATTTTTCAATTTTCTTACTTTTCATTTAAGGTATCTATACATAAGCTAACTAATGAGTATAAAGTTAAAGTTTTTTGTTGTTAAGATTTTATTACAAGAATTAAACTGGCTTTACTTTCCCAGAAAAGTTACATATACAGGACTTTCAACATTTTTCTATTTTGGAAACAAATATGCTCTTGCATGAGCACAAATGACTTATAATGCCTCATAATTGAGCGTTGTTCATCTGCATTTATAGGTATCATGCCTTATAGAGTGAGACACCTAATAAATGCTTTTTGATTATAATGAAAGTAAGAATATGGCTCACACACATTAAGGTTAAAAATTATGGTAAAGGAAAAGAGCTAAACAATCTTACCTCACTAAGTTCATGCTGCCTTTGCATCTTCTTTTCAAAAGTAGATTTCATTTGAGTAAGTAATTCATACTAAAAGAGAAAATTAAAATGTTTAATTCTATTTTTAAATTACATGGATTTCTTCAAAATGATAACTAACTCACCTTATCTAAAACAGTTTGCCTTTTGGCTTCCAAGCTGGGCTCCAAAAGGAGATTTTTCCCTGTAAGATAAATTTCTGGTTTATTTCTAGGTGAAAATCATATTTTTCTTAGGAAATTTAAGAAGTAAGGAAAGACATACTTGCTAGCTCCTCAATACTTTTTACTAAATCGTCCTTGTCAGTAATAATTTGTTTTAGTTGAGGCAAAGTAAGAAATTGTTCTAGTAATATCTCCTCCTGTTCATTCATATCTGTAAGCTGTGACACACTAAAACACAACAGAAAAAATATGTTAACAAATATCAGTAATAGAGTTTTTCTTCATTATAATTCATGATTTTCAGTTTCATTCAGCTGATAAGGTTCTAAATAATTTTTGAAGTACCTATTTTTATGTATATACATACATAAGGAGGCAAATTATAACCTTAAAAGCAAATAAAGCATCAGTCACAATGGAACATAAAGTAATCTGAATACAGTGTCAAATCACTATGAAGACGAGGGTGCATGTACAGCTTTAACAACCTCCCAATTTTAACCTCTGTGCCTATTTAGCTAATAGATATATGGCTGTCATAATAACAGATGTGTGTATTGTACATGTGCACATGTGTAAGCATGGAAGGCTAAATCAAAAGCAAAAATCAGTATCCATAGGGTGAAAGAGACAACTGGATAGATGTGACTGGGATGAAACCTATCTTTTAGTTTTGACTATGGATTCATATAAAAGCATTATATGGTTAAAAAACAAAATTAAAGAAAATAACAGTCTCTAAAATTCAAAGCAAATGGAAATAAAAGAACCTGTTTTTACTAAGCTACATAATCATCCATAATCATCCAGTAAAGTATTATTTGCAGAGAGTTTAAAAAACAGTATTTGGCTGTACATCTCTGGTGTGATATATCCTAAGGACAAAAAAAGTGTAAAAAACAAAAACAAATGAACAAAACCTTATCCTACATTTAATAATCATAGTAATAATACTGGTATTGTTATTTTGGAAAAGGAAAAGTGGCTTTCAAAGAAATGGCTAATTTGAGATCAGGGAAAAGAAATGTTCATGATGAGCCCATGGCATCTTTGCCATCTCCCTTTGTTGACTGCGTGTGCATCAACTCATGATATTGAAAACTGATAAAGAGAAAAAAATCAAGTATTTATTTTGCCTTTTCTGTATGAAGTGCATTTCAATAAAATTAAGTAGTTTATTTAAGAAAGTTCTTCATAGAATTCTGGCTAATTCCGGCAGTAGGAAATCACATTTGCAACTCTTAATGAAATAACTAAGAGTCAATAATGTAAGGTGTTTGAACCTGTTTCATTCTTAATGTCACTAAAAATAGAACAATAAGACATCATTACTGCCTTATGTGATATAATAGGAACTTGCATTAATTATGATGTAAGTATTCCTGCCAAACGATTTAAACTTAAATCTTTTTTTCAGCTTTATTGAGATATGACATATAACACTGTATAAATTAAAGGTGTACAATGCAATGATTTAATAAAAATTGAACCTGAATCTAGTCAAAACTCTAGATGTAGCCACCAGTAAAAGGAAATATGGGAAACAGGACTATCTTCAATGGTACAAGAATGCAATCAGGCAAAAACAAAATATGGGAAAATCTACAAGACAAATAACTTATTTCTTCAATAAATATGTAATAATATAATGCGTATAATTTACATATATTATATGTATATTTATGTGTTTATGCATATATATGTATGTATGTATACATAGTGTGTACAAAATGTGTGTAGGTATATGTATATTAACAAAGGTGGGGAGAAATGGTGCACAATTAAAGAAAACATCAGAGATACAGTCTTCGAATGAAATAGCTAGATTTTGTTTTGAATCCTGATTCAAATAAGCTACCAACAAAAAGATTTGATTATTAAGATCCTGAGGAAATGAGATAATGTTAAAGAATTTTCATTAATTTTACTAAGTATGATGATGTGGATTGGGATTATGGTAAAGATAAAAAGTCCTTACCCGCTGGAGAAATTTAGTGAAGAATTTATGGGTGGAAATGATATAATATTTGGGATTTGGTTTAAAATAATCTTGACCCATACCCATACTTCCTCAAACAAAGCTGAAAAAAGGGTATATGAACAAGACACGCAAAGAAGTTCACCTTTTTGTATTTTTGACATTTACATAGTCTTTTTTTTAAAAAAAGAACGAAAAAAAAGAATCCTTTATAACATGGGAATAATAGTACCTATTTCATAGGGCGTTGCAAGCATTACATAATGCATATAAATACTTAACATGTATGAGGTATGCTGTAAACCTTCATTAATTAATTATTAGCAGAAATTAAGAAATCACTATTTTCTGAAAATAATTGTAAAACACTGGGTCAAATAAAGCTAAACTTTTCTTTTTTTAACTATGAAATTTCTAATGGGTATTTTTTTTTTTGGCTGTACATCTTTGTGGGATATATTCTAAAGACAAAAAGAACTTTTTTAAAAAATTGCATTCGGCAGTCTTAGTAATAGCAGCTTTATGAGTATTGTAAACCCTCAATGGGGGTATAAAAGATGCAATGCTTCCCAAAGTTGAGTGGCCACAAAACATGTTTTTTCATGATGCATCTTAAAGAAGCAGTGTTCCATGAATAATGGTATCTTAAACTTGACTATTACAAACTTCTTTCCCAGAAATTTGAATAAATTTGGCTCTGTAAAAACACCTTGCTATTACTTTGAGAACTTTATTTTTCTATGTACAAACTTCTATCTACTAAAGGAACAGTGAAAAGGTCTAATATAGGCCAAGATATATTTTGAAATTTCCAGGGATAATGTATTCAGAAATAATTTTCATTAGACTTTAAGTCCACAAGAGAAAGGATATTGTTATCCTGGTGACTATTATATCATTCCTAGCATCTATAAAAATCCCTGAGTATGTACTTGTCACTCAGTAAATACAACCTACAGACATAAAACAGATTTATAAAACTTCCCCACTAAGACAACCATAATTTAGGAGCAGTGAGCATTTAAAAAATATTTCTGTTTAATATGGATATGAAAATGATAATTTGGTTTGTATTTACAAACAAAACAGACAACGAATACCAACATTATTTTCCAAGTTTTTTACCTTAGTTCTGAGAGTTCTGGAAATACATCAGGGACATCTGGCATCTTGTAACCAAAACCATTTTGGCTTATCTAAAAAGAGTTTGAAATGTCATTAAATTTCAGCCATCTTTATAACTGCTGATTACCTACGAAAGTAATTTTTAATGTACTACTTCCCATAACTGTTTTCAATATCACTTCTTCATCTTCTCAGTTTACACTATCCTTACTTACCTGTCTTTGGGGATCATATGCACATTCTCTTTCTTGGGCACATTCATGGTTGTAAAATAAATCTAAGGACATCTGTGACAAGTGTGAAGAATTATCTGTGTGGATACACACACACACACACACACACACAAATTTGTCTCAAAGGAATTAAGTATAGGAAAACAGTAAGTTGGCAAAAGTCTGAATAGTTCCATAAGTAAGTTCAATGAGACAACAGGGTAGATAAGGAATAGAGTATCTGCTGTTTGAATATAGATGATTTTTTAAAACTAAAGAACCATGAAAAGGTCTCTTGTAATTCTGTTTATACTATTAACTGTAGTTTATTCATAATATTCAATACAATGGTGAAAGATTTTAGAAAAACGAAGTCCACTTGTGCCTATACTCTGAATTATTACAAATGCTAAAACTAGTAAAGTTAGATATAATAAGGCTTTACAAGTATTACTATTGGTGATATTCACTAAGGGTTAAAAATGAAGGTTTTTAAATCACTTTATGTTTTATGCACAAATATTAGTCTCTGCTTCAGTAATATCCCACATGGTAAGTTATCAGCTAATTAAAGAATGTACAATTTTGAAACCAATGGGACACTTGAAGCCATTAGCATGATATAATGGACCCTCCACGGTCTGCTTCTCCTATGTGATCACTTCTTACACCCTTGCCTAAATCCCATGTGAGAACCAGAGAGATCTTTTATAGGCAGCTTCACAAATATGCCATTTGGTTTATGCTTACCCCACTTGTTAATGCTATTGCCTCTTCAAAGAATGCTCTAAACAACCCCTTGTCGTCCTAGCAAATTCATTACCATCTATCAAAATCTTGCCTCAAAGATGAATTCACTCACCATTCATTCATTCATTCCTTCATCAGCCTCATTTTAACTGAGCACCTAATATATGTATCAGGCATGATTTGAGGCACTAAGTATAAAGTGGTGAAAAAAAAGAATCACTTTTTTTTATAAAGACATCCCTTCTAGTTCCACCTTGGCCCCTGGGAACTGACCATTCCCTAAACTGTGTCTTCACCATAACTCCAGACTATTTCTTCTACTCTACTGGAAGGGCCTTATTTACAATTATATGATTATATACTAGTCATCTATCTTGAGTCTGTTACTTGCATTGCAAATGTGATTTAATCTTTTTATCTTTTGTGCCTAACTTGTGCTGGCACAAGGAGACATATAAGTGTTTGTTAACTGAATGAATGTTTCAAGGGTACAAAATATAGATAACTGAAGATACCAACCGGTGCTGAAGTGTCTGTTGTGGGAACAGGTAACGGTAGATTTGAAAGGATGCCAAATGAAGGTGCAGCAGGCTTGGCTGTTGAATAACTTGTCGTTGAAGAAGAAACAGTGTCAGCAACAGATAAAGCACTGATAGTTCTGTTAGCTTCTTGTGGGGGATATGGAGGAAGAAATGGAAAACCCTGAGAGGCATAAGGAGGCATCCCACCTGGGTTACTATATAAACTAAAGAGAAAGACAAGAGAAACATTAGATTAGAATTTAGGAGTAAATTTATAAAGCAATGGTCGGATGCTATAGATGGAATCTGTTTATGGCAGGTGATATTATAATTACGTAAATAAATTAAATATATAAATTGATAAAACTTGAACCCCCAAAAGAAAATTTTGGTTTCCATAAAAAAGAAAAATGTTTTAGAAAACATACTATTCAGCTTGCCACTAGAAGTGAACAGAAAGGTCACATTTGAGTTTTGAGTACTCCACTGACGTCAATCTATCTTCACAGAGGAAATGGAGAAAAACATTTAACCCAGAAATGTATTCAAATAGAGGTTAGTGATTTCACTATATTTTGCAAAATATGACTGAAAGTCAAATTGATTTTCTAGAAAATTTTAAAGGTAAAAGTATCAATGATCTAAAAAATGTTAAAACAAAAAAACAGATACATATAACGAAAACATATATTAGAAAAACTGGAAAAGTAGGATGTACTTGGGATTTAATCAAAGAACAATATGTATTTTTACAAGACAATAATATTGGTTTCAGTTCAAGATGGTGACGTAGGATGATCCTGAACTCACTTCCTCCCATGGACACATAAAAATTTCCTCTGAGGGGGAAAAAAAACCCTAAAAACCAGCCGAGTGCCTTCTACACATCAGGCAAAGAAAAAGAACACAATGAAGTGAGCAGGAGAGGGTGAGATTACAATCTTGCCATAAACCACACCGTTGGCACAGTGATCCATAACTGGGAGAGGACTCAAAATCCAGAGCTTCTCCCCAAGAAGCAAAGGGTTTGAATCTCGTATTAGGCACCACGACTTTTAAGACCAGTCTCTGGAAGACAAATCCCCAAAACATCTAGCTTTGAAAATCACAAGACCTACAAGGTTATAACAAACTGAGAAACAGCTCTTAAAGGGCTCACATCTGGTGCATGCTGGTTTTGCAGCTGTTTCCCAGAGGATTCCCCTGGTTTGCCTGGCTCTGGAGGCCAGGGGAGCTTTAGTTTCTGGGTTTAATGAGATTGTAATGGTTAGAGAGACAGTTCTTGGCTGACTACCACCCCTAAGACACTGTACAGACAGCAGAAATACTCCCCAATGCCCCCCGACCTCATCTTTCTGTGAAAGAGGTTTATGTGTTTGTCCAGGGGCAGGCTTCAGGTTTGGCACATATCAAGAGGCTACAAAGGTACTCTTAGGTAACGTAGGTGGTGGATGCCATCTTCGCACTTTCTCTCTGCCTCTCTACAGCTTGCTGGTATCTCTCAGAAAGGAATGTATATGTTCATCTGGAGCACCAATTGTTGAGACTGCCGCCAAGGGAAGCCCTCCAGATCGCTAAAGTGTAGTGGCCAGCAGGACTTAGGCTTGCTGTCACACAGAACTATATACATTTGCATATTTTAAAAGCTGCCGCCTGAAGATCTGGCTTCCAATCAGTTGGAATCTAGGTGCTGACTAAGATCTAACCTTTTGGGACATGGACAGGTCTTGGCACACCCTGAACTACTGTTAGCTATTAAAAATATAATAGGCTACCTGGACAATCATAAGGTTTGAGAGATAATCAAGAGATAGGGTAAGACCTGAATGATAAGGTTCATCTCCTAGTCCAATCTTTAAGACTGGGAGAGATGACTTTTATCTTATGCATAGAAACCAACTGGAAGAGCCAAACGAAATAAAGAAATATGTTCGAAAAAAAGAAAAAAGAAAAACCCAAGATAAAACTTCAGTGAAATGGAGAGAAGTAATTTACCTGATAAAATGTTCAAAGTAATGGTTATGAAGCTGCTCATGGAACTCAGAAGAATGAAGGAACACAGTGAGAACTTTAACAACGAAATAGAAAATACAAGTACCAAATAGAAGTCACAGAGATGAGGAATATAGAAACTTAAATGGAAAATAAACTAGAGGGGTTCAACGACAAATGGGATGAAGCAGAAAAAAGGGTCAGTGAACTCAAATATTAGGGAGTTGAACTAACCCAGTAAGAGAAGCAAAAAGAAAAAAGAATGAAAAGAAAAAAGTTGTAAATGAAAAAGAGGCTCTGTAATATATTTGACAAGTTTAGTGACCAAAAGTAAACTCACAGGGTGATCTAATCATAAATTCCCAACGGGGGTGGTCATGGTAGGTAGCCCCAGGCCTATAAAAGATTTATCTTTGTCTTAACTATTATTCTTATACATTTAGGCTAACACATCTTTGAAATGCCAAAAGTAATCCTCTTTTTCAGACTCCTCAGAGGAATAATCATTCTCAAGGGAGCAGCACAGAATCTTGCTAACTGTCCTGTAATCCAATAGAGATTTTCCTGCCTTGCTTTCTCCTGCCTTCAAGTAATCTTCCTTATGTTCCATCCTTAGTTCCAAATGTGTAAAAAGAACTGCAAAAACAGTCATTTGTAAGAGCACTTAAGATCTTGCTTTCAGGCATGTTATCAGCTTGGCTCACATAACTCTTTAAAAAAATTCTCTACAGGTTCGGAAGTTCTTATACCAACAAAATGAAGATAGCTTAAAGGTTTAAATGGGGCAACAAACAAACTAATATTCACATTATAGGGGACCTAAAAGGAGAACAGAGGGAGAAAGAGGAAAAAATAAAGCATATTAGAAAAAATAATGGCTGAAAACTTCCCTAACCTGGGAAAGGACACAGACAGGAAGATCTAGAGAGCCTAGACAAAAAAATATGAACCAAAGAGACCCACAGCAAGACACATTATCATTAAAAATCAAAAGTAAAAGGATAAAGGATTTGAAAAGTGGCAAGGATAAAACAACGTGTTTTGTATAAGAGAACCCCAATAAGACTATCAGCAGATTTTTCAGCAGAAGCTCTGTAGGCCAGAAGGGAGTTGCAGGAAAAATTCAAAGTGTTAAGAGCAAAAAACTTCAAGAATATTCTACCCAGCAAACTTATTATTTAGAATTGAAGGAAAGATAGTTTTGTCCAGACAAGCAAAAATTAAAGGAGTTCGTTATCACTGAAATGGCCTTACAAGAAATGTTTAAAAAAACTTTAAGCTGAAACGGGTGCTAATTAGTGACAAGAAAATATGTGAAAGTATAAATCTCACCGGTAAAGGTAAATATATAGTAAAGTTAGTGCATTATCACTTATAAAACTAGTATGAAGGTTAAAAGACAAAAGTAGTAAAAACAGCTATAACTACAATAACTAGTTAAAGGGGACACAATATAAAAAGATATAAAATGTGACAACAAAAAACAAAAAATGGGGTGGAGAGGTGGAGTAAAAATACAGAGCTTTAGAAAACATTCAAACTTAAGTTATCAATATAAAACAGACTATAAATATAAGGGGTTATATGTAAGCTTCAGGGTATCACAGAGCGAAAACCTATAGTGGATACACAAAAGATAAAGGAATCTAGCATACCACTAAAGAAAGTAATCAAACCACAAAGGAAGAGAGTAAGAGAAAAAAAGGGAACAGGGAGAAACTACAAAACAGCCAGAAAATAATTAACAAAAATGGCAGTAAGTACATACCTATCTATAATTACTTGAAATGAAAGTGGACAAAACTCTGCAGTCAAAAGATAGAGTTGCTAAATGGATTAAAAAATAAGAACCATCTATATACTACCTACAGAAGATTCACTTCAGATGGAAGGACATACACAGACTGAAAGTGAAGAGACAGAAAAAGATATTTCAAATGAAATCAAAAGAAAGCTGAGGTAGCTATACTTATATCAGACAAAATAAACTTAAAAAAAACAAAACAAAGAGATAAAGAAGGCCCTTACATAATGACAATGGAGCCACTCCAACAAAGACATATCATTTGTAAACATTTATACCTTGAGACAGATGAAAATAAAAACAGAACCAAAACTTATGGGATGCATCAAAAGCAGTTCTAAGAGGGAAGTTCATAGTGATAAAATGCTTACATCAAGAAACAAGAAAAATCTTAAATAAATAACCTAATATTACACTTCGAGAAACTAAAACAAGAAAAACAAAGTCCAAAGTTAGTTAAAAAAAAAATAAAAAATAAAAAAATAAAGGAAATAACAAAGATCAGAGGGAAAATAAATAGGACTAAAAGACAATTAAAAAGATCAATGAAACTAAGAGTGAGTTCTTTGAAAACAAAATTGACATGCCTTTAGCTAGACCTACCAAGAAAAGAAAAAGAGACCCCAAATCAACAAAATATAAATGAAAAAGGAGACAAAAATGATACCACAGAAATACAAAGAATCATAAGAGGCTACTAATAAACAAGCATATGCCAACACACTGGACTACCTAGAAGAAATGGAAAAATTCTTAGAAATGCAAACTACCAAGACCGAATAAGAAATAGGATAGACCAATTATGAGTAAGGAGATTGAATGAGTAATCAAAAACCTCCCAGTAAAGGTATGTCCAGGACCACATAGCTCCACTGGTGAATCTTACCAAATATTTAAAGAATTAATGCTAATCCTTCTCAATCTCTTCCAAAAACCTGAAGAGAAGAGAACACTTCCCAACTCATTATGAAGAAAGCATCAATCCTAATACCAAAGCCAGAAAAGGACACCACCAGAAAACTACAGACCAATATCCCTGATGAATATAAATGTACAAATTCTCAGAGTACTAGCAAACTGAATTCAGCAGTATATTAAAAGGATCATTCACCATGATTAAGTGGGATCTATCCCTGGGGTGCAAGTATGCTTCAATATATGCAAACCAACCAGTGTGATACAGCACCTTAACAGAATGAAAAAAAAATATTATCATCTCAGTAAACACAGAAAAAGCACTTGACAAAATTCAACATCTATTCATGATAAAAGACTCTTAACAAATTTAGTATAGAATATATTTTGACATAAAAAGGGCCATATATGATAAGCCCACAGCTACTATCATACTCAATGATGAAAGATTGAAAGCTTTTCCTAAGATCAGGATTGAAAGCTTTTCCTAAGATCAGGAACAAGACAATGGTG